GTTTAGTCGGCTAAACAACAAAATGAACACTAAAACAACATAAAACATGGCAAAACTTACAGCTTCCAAGTTTGAAGTCGGGTCACTAACAGCGGGTACCATTATCGATCCATTATTGATTTTGAACAGTTAGAACTCATTACAAAATTATTATTATATTGTCTGTAGTCAAATGCACACACACATCAAAAATAAACTTTGTCCACTCAGCTCTTCTGTCCTCTGAGGCTGGGGACCGATGTTAAGATGCAGCCTGGAGCTGAGTACATGTTCATTTAAACGCTGCAGTCTCCAGGCTGCCAGTCGAGGGTGTGAAGGGGGCGTTTTGACTTCCTTACTTTAATGTTCTTAGCATCTATTAAACCATACAGCTATTAAAATAGAACCACATTTGTTGAGTAAAATATATTTGAAGCATATTTTCATACATAATCTATGTTATTTCTGACAACATAGCCTACCACTCAAAAATAAAATACATCAGGTCTCTCTAGTCCCCAAAAATAATGGATTAATAAACGTTTTTCTCCTTATTAAAGTAACGCCAGCGATGACCAATTAGAATTTGGTTGGATTGATTACCTGTCATAAATAATGATGATAATATAGACAAAGCCTGCTATAAAATGAAGCATATGGTAATTTATTGTTAATGAGGAACTGCCAAAATACATGGAGCAACACAGCAGAGTTTACTGATTATTGGCAAAGTTCCCCAAAGTACTGGATAGCTAGATAACTACACAGATGACAAGGTAGCTGATAGCTTGATTAACAATTTTTTAAAGTTTAATTCAACTTTACAATACCTGAACTATCCCTTAAGTTCACACAGGTGTATTCATTATTACACAGTCCTGTTGCTTGTCCACATTGCTAAATGATCAGCACCCAGGTCAACTTGGAACCAATCTTTTTGAAGGAGTCTCAGTTCAGTTGTTTGACCCATAACAGAACTGTAATGACTTGCCCTTGCCCAAACGTGCAGATGGATCTGTGGTCTATTAAAGGGCAAAAACCTATTTACACTTAAGTCTTGCAAAGTGTGAGTACCAAGTCAACCAGTCACATCCCAGCAGCTCCCTGTGTTGTTTGCATCATTCAGCAGTAGTTTTGGGGTGATGTATTGTATTGTTTAGGTGACTGGTGTAGCTCCCAGAACAGCTGTAGCCCAGAACCATAGTTCCGTGTCGGAGCGGGGGAGCCGGCCTCACATTCAGGCGATCGTCACAGAAACCAAAAAGGAGCCGACAGCCACGTTCAGTCAGGTGAGTCCGATCAGTCTGAGCTGCTTCTTCGCTTTTGGTTTCAGAAATTTCACCATCATAATAAAAACAATGGCATGATAGCAAGTATTCCTATGTATTACTGCTGGTACTGCTTCCACTGCTACTGAAATATTAATAAAATCAAAATACATTTATGATTTATTGTAAAAAAAAAAAACTCAGCGATGATGCAAGAAGGAGACACTACCATGCCTCTGTTTTGACACTATTTGTAGTCCAAATCATAAACTTACCCAGCATGCCTGGGTCATTTTGAATGTCTTGCTGTTGTGTTGGAACCACTGAAGTCTCATAGTTGGTAGATTTCTTGGGTGGAGCTCCAGTGTATATGATTTAGTGGTAATGTAATGTAGTAGGAACAATAATGTGTGTCTGTTATGTGTATTCCTTAAAAATAGTTTAATTTCCGCATTAAACTTTTTAAAGGTCCAGTGTGTAACATTTAGGAGGCTTTGTTGTCTATTATGAATATAATATTCATAGGTTAGTGTCTAATCGCCTCAATATAAGATTCATTGTGTCTTTGTTACCATAGAATGATTTTTATCTACAGACGCTGCAGGTAGCCTTCCATGGAGTCTGCCATATTGAACCATCATGTTTCTACAGTAGCCTGGATGGCACAAACTCAAAAAGGCAGTTTGCACTTGTGTGTTTCACAGCCACCGTAGTTTCTCCTTCGTTCTTGGAAGGNNGGAAGGGGGGGGGGGGTGAAGTGATGGAGTAAATCATACACACTGGATGCATCTACTCCTTCTACCTCTTATGCAGAAGAGCTAACACCAGCATGGAGCCCTACTTTCTACAGTCCTTAGATATTCAACAGGTTCCTGCTTCTTGGAAAGCTTCTGTAATTATTCTGAACCCTAAAAAAGCACTTAGCAGCATTTAACTGAAAACAATGATTTTAGACCAGTTGCTCTGACATCAGTCATGTGTATGGTGTCTATGTTGAAAGCGGATGTAAACAATAAATTAGACACATTATAGTTTACGCACAGACAAGGACAAATGATGCTGCTACTGCTATCACTTGGTTTTAAAACATCTTGAGGACAGTAGAGCTGGGCTTTTAACACTCTGCAGCCATAGCTTTTAACTCAGAAGCTTAGAAAACTGGATGGTAACTCTAGAGTTATCAAGTGGTATCATTCATTTTTAACAAACTAACCACCAACAGGAGACCCTGGAAAGTGTGAAGAAGTGCAAGAACTTCCTGGTGACTCTGATCAAGCTGGCCTCCAGTGACTCCAGGTCTGCTAACATGGCTAACAACGTCAGAGGACTGGTCAGGAGTCTGCTGGTACGTCTCTCCTCTTCATCATCACAGCAGCTGATTTCACTCAATAGAATAATGAAAACTGTCCAAAATACACCAAAAGAGGTCAGTTTAAGGTTTGAAAAGCAGTAAAATGTCTTCCACCCTTTAGTCGTCTCATTGTTTTTAATCTGTATTACAAATTCTTTATTTTGCGTATCTCTCTTGGATTAGAGGACTACTAGCACTACATGTATCATATCTCTTGTCAATAGAATTATAGACTCATTAAAAAAAATAGTCAATCTAAAATAAGCTACTTTACTAATAAGCTGTAATTAGACCTTGAGTTAAGATTATTATTTTTACTCATACTGCCCATTTTTGTTGCATAATGTTCATCAGGTATTTTGAGTTTTTACTTGTTTTCTTTCATGGTGAGACAAAAAATGCATTCAGTTTTTACTTCCTGAAGTATTTCTGTGTTCTACCCTGCAGGAAGGAAAGCTAGAAGCAGAGGAGTTTACAGAGCAGCTCTATCATGAGTTAAAGTCGACGCCACAGCCCTGCTTGGTGCCTTTCCTCAAGGTGACCAGAGATTCAGCTACACATTATTGTTACGTCCCTGGGCGTCTGCAGGTCCGGGGAAGTCCATGATTCAGAATCAGAATCTGAATTTTG